AAAATATGTTTTTGCTACACAGTGAATTATAAGGGCCACTGTTCCGCCGCCTCCCAGCATTGTCACTGAGCTGAAATATGGCTCGCGCCTGGCGTCATGACCCCCGCTCGGCCACTGAAGTCACCTCATGAGATGACTCCCCGTGCCGAGGGGCCACCCTCTCCGGCACCTCGGACAGGAGGGCGCTGGCAGCATCCGACTCACCGGTCTAGCGCGCGTTCCTTTAACGGATGTTCATCTTCAGCGGGGAGTAAAGTCGACTCACACCACCAGCCAACACCAACCACCCATCGTAAGCAGAGTGGTCCCGGGACGCCGAAAGGCACGAAGAACGACTCCCTGACGAAGCCGCCCTCCTCCCCCCCTTAGCCTCTTTGATGGCAATAAGGAGATCACCGCACCGAGTCCATAAAGCAGAGGAAGAGATTTTGGTTGGAGTACACTTCAGCCGTGCCGCAGCACCAACGACCCATGCCGAAGATTGTCCCACACTGCGTGACGCTGCCGTTGCGTTTAAACGCACACGCGCAGGGACTCTGATTGCAGCACGATCTGGCACAACCATCGGCAACGAACGTTGCCTGCAAGCATCGGGGCCGTCCATAAATGACGTCACGCACTTAGGGGCGGGGGGGGGGTCAGATATTTGTGACGATGTGTGACGAGGGGGGAGGGGGGGTTTGAGAAATGTGACGTCACATCAAAATGCGCAAACTTTGAATAAAGATAGAATTGTTATAACAACACTGATTGTTATAACAACACTCCTACAACATCAGAGTGCAGCGCCACATTAAATACGCACTACAATTACAATAGTTTAAAGCGATTTGAAGCATGTTTTATTTCCAAAATGAAAATATGGTTTTGGGGGGGGGGCAGAGCTTTGTGACGTCATATTTGAGGGGGGGGTCTGACTTTTTGTGACGCCGTGTGACGAGGGGGGGGGTAAAAAATCGTCCAAAATCGCGTGACGTCATTTATGGACGGCCCCATAATAACGCCTGAGAAAGCCGAAGGTCCTCCCCTACAGCTGTACACAGAGCATGTTGTACGCATGTTGTACGCATGTTGTACGCATGTTGAACTTTGTTCGCGACACGTGCTAATCGGTGGCGCCGGGGCAATGGCCGCTTGCGAGCAAACTATTTTGGACACGAACGGCGAACACAACTTCCGTCCGGCCGCCTTTGTCTCCCCTGGTGATGTTTACCGCGTACGGTGGCACGTCTTAAGGCTGAGTTGACCTACGGGGAGTCTCTGGACCGCTTCTGATATTATTAGCCACTGGTGTTAGCCGTTTCCTGGAGTCGAACTCAAGTCGTCGGCTTCAAAGCGCAGTGTGCTGACCACTGGTCCACCGGACCACTGCCGGACCACGTTGCACGCGCACGCACGCGCTCGCATACATTCACATACACACTGCGAAGAACGCACGCACATTTAAAGCGGGGTATAGAGAGAGAGAGTGGGAAGGGGTAAGAAGGAGGAGAGCAGAGCGTGACATATTTCGTGAAATATTTCATTGAAACAGGGGGGAGGGGGGGTGCACATAAAGCAAAGCATTAAAAAAAAACAAAAAAAAACTAAATGATGAACGAAGCAAAGTGCCGACTACACCGCGCATAAATTTTGATTTAAAGCTTTCGTGACTGCAGTAATTCATATTCTTAGCTCTTTCGGTAAAGTCACGTTGAAGGGAAACAATAAAATAATAAAATATATAAAACAATAAAAAAAAATTCTCACGACGTTTCGACCATAACACATGACGACCGTCTTGTGTTATGGTCGAAACGTCGTGAGAATTTTTTTTTTATTGTTATATATATTTTATTATTTTATTGTTTCCCTTCAACGTGACTTTACCGAAAGAGCTAAGAATATACACCGCGCAACTTCTTGTTTCCTCTGATCGTAAAAAAAGCGCATTGCAAACCTTTCACGCAAAGCAAAGACGACCCGTATTGGTCACTCACACTGCCAGGGCAAGCGCTGTTTAGCGAGCACCTACTGATGCTGGCAGGGCGCACGAGTGGGTGATGTACACGCACAAAATAAAGACAAAGACCCCCTGGTATAGCCTGCACAATATGTCGGGGCAAGTGTTGATAGCGAGCTCCTGTGAAGGCCGGCACGGCACACGCAGGGGAGTGGGTGTTGTGGCCGCAACCACTTTTGTCTCCGCAGCGCTGATGTGTACATATCCACGCCAGGTAAATCATGCTTATGATGAGTCGTTAAGGAAGTGTAATTTATTACAGTCGTACCCCGTAATAGAGGTTTTTTTTGGGTTAGATCGAGCAAACATATATAAATGTGTCGTTAAACCCGGCACCACCCGACACAGCCAACTAGTAAGGTTTGTCACGCAAAACAGAACGTGGCCAATTCGTCACTAGTACAGCACCACCGGTGTGTTGGAGAGCCAAGCCACAACATTTACAATCCGAGTACTCGTGCGCCCTGCCGGCAATCTGAGGCCCTATGGGTGAAGCAGAAATTGACGAACGTTGGACACCGTTGTGAGGACCTTCTGGACCAAGATGATTCGGTCTTTGCTTGGGAATGGAGAAGGTGGCAGGGGCAGAGGTCGACCTCGGAGCAGGCGGATGGACAACATCAAGAGCACTGCTGGCCTCACGCGAACCCAGCTACGAGAGGCAGAGAGGCAGAGAGAGAGAGACACGCGGTTTGGATGGCTGAGTCTGGCCGTGGATATTACCAGAGGTCGTACTCGACCTGACGGTAACATTCCTTCACGTGCGGTGAAAAGCAGTTCGTGCACAGGGTAAGGGTGGAGGCGAAGGCTGAGAGGCGGCGGATGCGAGAACAGGAGGGACGATGCTAACGTTAAACCGCATTTACTTTAAATGTAAAGTCGCCTCCACTCAAAGGGGGGGGGTATCAAAACATTGTGCACTGAAATAAAATGCAAAGACGATTTAAAAAAAAAACAACAACAACGTTTAAGTAAAAGCCATGTGAAAACGGTGAGTTATTCGCACTTCCTCCTAAACACACCGAGGCTCGTAAGCGTTGCCGGATCACTGGTCGGCAAGGCGTCTCCAAATCGTTGGGGCAACGCTTGATCGCAAGAGCCGAAGTTGGGAGAGGGGTAGTAAGGTGCTGCTCTGAAGAGTGGAGCGTTTAAACCCCAAGCGAAGTAAGTTGGAGTGGGGGAGGGGAGTTGAAGCGACGCAAATCGGGTGGTGGTCTTAATTAAGGTGACCAGGTATTTTTGCAACGACGTTGAAAAGTGGAGACGTAAGTCTGGGTATTAATGTATTTCCCTGTTTCCCCCCCCCTCCCCCCCCAGGACTTCCCCATAATTACGAGCGAAACTGCTGACTTGACGGTTCAATGGGTTGGAGATTCGTCACCATTCTCGCCCTCAGCGATTGGCATAGTGATGGTGGTTCCAGATCGTTGGGGCAACGCTTGATCGCAAGAGCCGAGGCTGGGCTAGGGGTATAGTAAGGTACTGCAAACGACGTGTGTGGGGGGGAGGTGAAGCGACGCAAATCGGGTGTTGGTCTTAATTAAGGTGGCCAGATGTTTGCGAAACGACATTAAAAAGGGGCAGACGTAAGTCGGGGTATTAATGCATTTCCCTGTTATTTCCCCCCCCCCCCCCCAGGACTTCCCCGAAATTACGAGCGAATCTGCGGACTGTACGGTTCAATGGGTTGGAGATTAGGAATAGGTTTTACCCTTTTAACCGGCACAAAAACTGACACCTTTATTCAAGGCATCATGTTTGCAATAACCACAACACAAGCAGTCAAAATGCAAACAAAAAAAGACAACTCTGATAATAATATGCACTGTCCTTGAATTCGATTGGTCCACACCCGAGACGGCTTTTCTTAGAGCCTAGTCTCCACTGGTGTTGGACCAGAAGACGCCAAAAGGCGTACAACTCAAAAACAGCGCACTATCAGAGTATTGAGGGCTTGGGGTGAGCAGAGCTTTGTGACGTCATATTTGAGGGGGGGGTGACGTCGTGTGACGAGGGGAGGGGGTAAAAAAATCGTCCAAAATTGCGTGACGTCATGGCCCCATATACGTAGCCAACCGTGCTTATCGGAAGTGCCTTTGTCTCCCCAATGCTATTTTCCACATCGCATCAGGCACTCTTTTAAGGTTGAGTCGACCTAGAGGATGCCAAGGACAATTTATTTCATCACTTGCCACTCACGTTGGCCGTGTCGTTTCGTGGCACAGTCCGCATGACGAAAACCACTCCCTGCCAGATACATTCCCCCGATATGGCTTCTCACAGGCTGGTTGGGTCAAGTGCTGCGAGCGAGCACCTCTGCTAAGACCTGAACGGCGCACGAATGGGAGGTGTGAACCAGAACCACACACGGCCGCCTTTGTCTCCCCAAGTGCCGATGGTTACACACCGCACCAGGTACTCATGTTGAGGCTGAGTCGACACTACGGGGGGGAGGCGCAGGACCATTTCGGATAATCGCCACCGGTGGTGGCCGTGACCAGGGAAATCAAACTCGGGCCGCCAGGTTCTTCGCTGCAAACGCGCTAACCGCTGCACCACCGCTCCACACGCATCTGCAAGACGCGGGCACGCGATGTTGAGTTTTGCCCTGCTCCTAGCTGACTGACCTCCTTCCCCACACAGGAAATGGGGCCCCACCCCCGCAAAGGAGGGGAGGGGGATGGGGCGGAGGAGGGGAGGGGCTGGAAACTCGTTATGGGAGAGAGGTGGAAGAGAAAGAGGGTGGATAGAGAGAGGGCGGAGGGTACGGACTCTGTGCAGGGAAGCCGGAGGGGTATGGGGGGAGAGGGAAGGATGGGGGGGGAGATGGGATGGGGGGGGCGAGAGGGAGGGATGGGGGGTGAGGGAGGGATGGGGAGGGCGAGGGATGGGGGGGGCGAGAGATTGGGAGGGCGAGGGATGGGGGGGCGAGAGGGAGGGATGGGGGGGGGGCGAGAGGGAGGGATGGGGGGGGGGCGAGAGGGAGGGATGGGGGGGCCGCGCCCATAATCGAATCTGGCTTTGGTGCAGATGCGAGCTTCTGCACTCGTGCCAATTGCGAGGCGAAGGAGGAGGAGGCGCGAGGTAGCAGACACGCAACGAGCCTCGAGAGACGGAGAGAGATAGAGAGAGAGACAAGAGACCCGACTGGGAGGAGGGCGAGACACGGGAGATACGAGGGAGGCGAACGGGGCCCAGCAACGAAGAAGGGCATCAGGAGACGAGAAGACAAGAGAGAGAGAAGCGCTGAAGAGAAAGAGCAGCAGACATGAGCGCTCCACCTCCTTACGGTTACTCGCAGCCACCCGTGGCGCCTGGATATGCTCCGCAGGGTGAGGAGTGGGAACGGTCGCCGTGTTTACTGCTGTGTGCGTGTGTACAGAATTGATGAAGTATGGTCAAAATACCCCCCCCCCACTCCTCTCCTCCCCCCCTCTCCCCCTCCTCCCCACCACCCTTCCCCTGATCCACAAGTGGATGCACGGGAGTGTCAGCGCGTGTGTCTGTGTGTGTGTCTGTGTGTGTGTCTGTGTGTGTGTGTCTGTGTGTGTGTGTCTGTGTGTGTGTCTGTGTGTGTGTCTGTGTGTGTGTATGTGTGTGTGTCTGTGTGTGTGTGTATGTGTGTGTGTCTGTGTGTCTGTGTGTGTGTGTCTGTGTGTGTCTGTGTGTGTGTGTCTGTGTGTGTGTCTGTGTGTGTGTCTGTGTGTGTGTGTCTGTCTGTGTGTGTGTGTGTCTGTGTGTGTCTGTGTCTGTGTGTGTGTGTCTGTGTACACGTGGGGTATAAGGCGCCGAAGTGTGTGCGTGTTTTTTCTGGGGGAGCGGTGGCGCAGTGGTTGGCGCACTAAGCTACGAACCCCTGGAGGAAAAAAAAATCCCGAGTTTGATTCCCGCTCGTGACGCAATTCCGGCGGCGAATGTTTGCGTGGGTCTCCCCTTGGTCGACTGGGCCTTAAACGATTGCAGTTGTGTAAACCTCAGCATTGGGGGAGGCGAGGGCGGCCCGGTTGTCCACCCACCCACTCGCATCGCAAGCCTCTCCATAGGTGCTCGCTAACAGCACTTCCCCCAAAAGTCTGGGGAAAGGTTATACGGGGGGATCTTTGTTGGTGCATGGTTAGTACCTGTGTTGATGCACAGCTGTGTGTGTGGGGGGGAGCGGTGGCGCAGTGGTTAGCGTACAAACTAACGAGTTCCGTTCAATACCAGCTCCGAGCCAACATCGTTAATACATCACGTGACTCTTTTACTGTCGTTGTCGAAACTTTCAAAGTATGAACATTTTTGTTAGAATAGGTATATTATCAGCGCATGTTTTTGTGTCCATGTTCACCAAAAGCACGTGCAGTTAATGCATGACTTGATTCCTTGCAACACTGTATCTTCGTGGTGTTTTTAAAATGGTGAAACCAAAAAAATAATTTTCTTCATATTTATCACGTCTAACGCAGTAAGCACATCTAAACCGGGCTCACACGACGATGCACTTCTCCGACCCGAGGTGGACTCTGCATTAAATTTTGCGGTGTTCAAACAGCAGCCAGTTGGGCAGTGATCAAAGTCGGCCGAACGTGGTTTGCTGCTTCGTGCACCGTGCCGGCCTCCCACAGGTGCTGCTCAAGAGCACTTGCCACCCAACGGCCTTGTCTGACGCTCCGCGGCGGCAGCCTTTCATATTTGCTTCGCACATGCGAGTGCACCTTAGCGTGGCACGTGCGCCGCGGTGACGTCACCGCCACGTCGGAGCGATTGGCCGGTCGTGTGGCCTCGCCCCAGGTCGGCTCGGCGTCAAATGAGCACCGGATGCGGTTGTGTGGTTGGTAAAACGTCGCAAGTGGGGAGACAAAGGCGGCCGGGGCGTGGTGCTGGCCGCCCACCCCGTCGTGTGCCGTGCCGGCCTTCATAGGTGCTCGCTGACACCACTTGCCCCAACAGTCTGTTAAGGCTATACGGGGGATCTTTGTCTTTGGTTCTAAAAAAAACACACACACGGGGACATCAACGAATCTAAAAGGAAAAGTGCGCAACGAAGCGTGGAGAGACGGAGAGATGCAAGCTTGCAATTACACTGAGAGACGGAGAGAGAGGAACACGTAGATCAGAGATCAGGCGGGCGTGGTGGCCGACGGGACGCGTCCCATGGGTACGTCCGTCACGGAGACGGAGCGATGGGATGTCGTCCGCAGGTTGTCTCGGTGGGTTGTTGTTGCAGTGCAAGGATCATGACGGATGGCAACGGCTTCATCCAGCAGTGGATTGATCGATATTGTATATATATACATGCGTATGTATATATGGGGGGGGGGGGGAGCGGTAGTGTAGTGGTTCGTGCACTTGTGACCCGAGTTCGATTCCCGCTCACGACCGTAAATAAGTGGCGAGCATCTCAAACCGGTCCTCGACCTCCTCTAGGTCGACTCAGCCTTAATATAGTACCTGGTGCAGTGTGTAAACATCAGCACTGGTGAAACAAAGGCGGCCGGGCGTGGTACTGACCCCTCCCCACCCAACATCGTGTGCCGTGGTGGCCTTCAAAGGTGCTACTCTGGCTAACAGCACTTTGCCCAACAGCCTTTTAAAAGCGGCACGGGGGAAATTTCTGCCATCGTGTGTATTTGCGTGCATCCGTTTATCACCCCAATATATTCCCCAGCAAAATGGGGGTTTTTCACCACGAGGGGTTGGCCAGCGCGAAAACTCCAGGGCAGCAGAAGGTGAAACGGAACAAAACCCATTCTGCTAAAGTCTAAACAAATACTCTTGCGTCTTTAGGTCAAGTCACGTAAATAAATAATAATAGATCACGACGTTTCGATCTATTGTTTTTTTATTTTATCAATTTATTATTTTATTCTCATTCTACGTGACTTTACCGAAAGAACCAAAGAAGATGAATCCTTGCAGTCACGAAAGCTTTAAATCGAAATTTGACCGAAATACTCTAGAGCTTGAATTCCGGCAGTCACGAAAGCCTTAAATCAAGATCTAAACAAATAAGTGAAGAAGGAGCTGGTGCATGGGAGCGTGGCGGTGAGGGTGTGGGGGGTAGTCGTGAATCCCACGCTGCTTGTAGGAACACCTTTCCATCAACGGCAAGTGGGGAATGTTGGTGGTGGCCGTTGGCGGCTTATGCAACCACCGAATATGAACGTCAGTGGATGAATGCATGACAGGATAATGAGTCGGATGCCTTCTATGACCTATCCCAGGCGCCGGCTAAAGTAGCACCGCGGGCTAGTTATCTTGTTGGGTGACTTTTATGTCCCAGTGCGTTTTGGTGCATGCAGGTAGCTCAACCCGGAGTGATTGGAAGGCATGGGCCAGATCAGCTCAATAACGTTAGGAGGCCACTCGACTTCTGTGCAGCCTATGGGCTTGTAACTGACTTTACCCAATAGAACCAAAGAGTATGGATCCTCGCAGTCACGAAAGCTTTACATCTAGAATTTGCTGGACATTTCTGTGAGGGTTTGTGCAACCCTTAGCTCACAGAACACCGCAGGGTCAAGGTGCGTTTGGCCGTGATGTCACGACTTCCACTCCCAGTGGCGTCGACGAATTATTGGGTCGACGCTGACGCGGCGTTTTCCCAACAACAAAAAAGCCTCGCCGAGGAATGGTGACCCATGATTTTTCGAGGAGCCCTGCCAAGTTTTCTCGCAATGGTTGCCCACGGATAATGCGATGGGGTTATTTGGCAGCTGTTGGCCAGCTGTTGTGTACATCGTTTGTGTGTGTACAGCACTGGTGTGTACATCGTTTCTGTGTGTACAGCACTCGTGTGTACATCGTTTGTGTGTGTACAACACTGGTGTGTACATCGTTTGTGTGTGTACAGCACTGGTGTGTACATCGTTTGTGTGTGTACATCGTTTGTGTGTGTACATCGTTTGTGTGTGTACATCGTTTGTGTGTGTACAGCACTGGTGTGTACATCGTTTGTGGGTAGTTTTCGTGCGAATTGTACTGCACTGTAGTGTGCTGTACGTGTAGTGCCTGGCATTCTCTAAACTCACCATAATAACCAGCTAGTATAAGGGCCGTCCATAAATGACGTCACGCACTTAGGGGGGGGGGGTCAGACATTTGTGACGATGTGTGACGGGGGGGGGGGGTTGAGAAATGTGACGTCACATCAAAACGCGCAACTTTAAATAAATATAGACAACACGTTCTACTTAATTAAATAGACTTTAAAATAAATGTTTTCTCCGACATCAGAGTGCAACGCCACATTAAATACGCACTATAATGACAATAGTTTAAAGCGATTTGAAGCATGTTTTAATTTGGAGGGGGGAGGGGGGGGCAGAGCATTGTGACGTCATATTTGAGGAGGGAGTCTCACTTTTTGTGACGCCGTATGACGAAGGGGGGGGGGTCAAAAATCGTCCAAAATCGCGTGACGTCATTTATGGACGGCCCCATAGACGTGGGAGCATACACGTACAGCGCAACATCGAACTGTTGATGCACACTGTCCTCTTGCTCACAATGTTGGTCTTAACCTTTACATTTAAAAAAAATCAGCCTTCTTGATAAACTGGATCGACGAGGTCACTGGATTTTGTTTTGTGCGCGTTGCCCTGACCACTCCGCCTCCCCCCCCCCACACGCGCTCCACACATCGATAAGCAGATTTGCAGACGCCACCACCACCACCACAAAAGCAAAAGACCAAAGACATTTCTTCTTACAGGCTGAGAGTCATGTTTATTAGCACCCGACTGCCAATGCCCTAGCCAGTCCCCAACCGCGATTGTTGTTCCGGCACCCGCTGATTCACTCCGGTCGCTCGCTGACCGGCAGACAGTCGTCTCCTTATCGCTCTACTATCGCTACTGCACGAGTTCATTTGCCCCACTCGTGTTGAGGACTCCATCTCTACCGGACACTGGGTTTGTTTTCGTGTCATCCACCCCCAATGTGGTCCACCACCACCATTACTAAAACTAAACTTATTTTTCGTTTTTGGAGTTATTTTGTTAACCCCCAAAACGTAGCCTTTTATAATACATAATTGGTTTCTTTTGCGTTAGGCCATGTAAGACATGTGTACTGTAAACCCTCATACATCCGGCACAGGCTATGTGTAGTGGGTTCACGGGACACGGAGACGGTGGAGTAGAGGCAGCACTGTTTATTCAAGCTTAACAAGGGTTACACTGGAAGGGGCAATGGCCCCTTCACCCGTATACACGCTGGGACACCCCCTAGGCTATCTAGCCTAACTCCTGTGCTCCCAGTTCCTCCGCTACAGGCGCTAGAGGAGGCTATCTGATCTGGCCCTGGTCAAGCACAGACCACGGCACCCCACCAACCAGACCGACCCTTAAAAGGGCTCCGGCTCTGAGGCTCTGGGGCTGCACCACCGGCTTACCCTGCCGGCCCTCAAAAGAAGGGCGGGCAGGGAAGTCCCAGGGTCTATCTAGACGGTCTTCCTCCTTCACTGGTTCTTCATTCTTGGCCCCAACACACTGCCCCGAGCTCTCTGGCTCCCCACCCTTTATACCCATACACCACTGAGGGTGGGGCTATAGCGGACGTGGTTGTAGCCACCATGGTGTGACTGTGTGTTACCTTCCCGCAACACCCCTGCATATGTATAGAAGTGTGACGTGACTCAAACGTAGCCAATCACTGCCGCTGGAGCACCACCGGTAGAGACGTTTCGCTGGAGATTACTGGAAACTATTTGTTATTTTACCAGGTAAGGCCCACTGAGCTATATAGCTCTTTTTCGGAAGCGACCTGGCCACAAATGAAGTCTCAACAAAGGGGTGGGGAACCTTTTTTCTGCCAAGGGCCATTTGGATATTTATAACATCATACAGGATTATCAACTTAAACATTAGCCTGTTATATTTGGCCAAACATTTAATTAACTCACCCCTAATGCGATGGCAGGAACTGCTTCTCTTTGGTGAGGCGTGTGATGATGTTAGCTGGTATTGATGATGTTGCTACTCACAACTGCTTTTCCAATGTTTGCTCTACCTAGATTTATTGAATTTCGAGTCCCGCCTGCGGTTGCCTTGGCAGGGCCGGACCAGATGATTCCGCGGGCCTTACACGGCCCGTGGACCGGACGTTCCCCACCCCTGTGTCTAAACGCATGTCAATCATAAATTTGGAGGGAAAAACCAGAAGACCCGGAGAAAAATACACGCGATCACGGGGGGAACATGTAAACTAGAAATATACAGGCGTCAGGGCCGGGATCGAATCAACGGCTTCCTGTATACCTGGCGAGGTGGTTAACATCTAGAACCACCGCGGCACTTCAGGTCACAACAACACTGACCCACCCATCCATTTAATTTACTAACCCACTCAATGACCTACCCATTCACCCACCCACCCACCCACTCGCCCATTCACTAACTCACACACTTATCTCACCGATTCACCAACCATACTGAAGTCGAAAACACTTATATTACTTCCTCTTGCTCTGCCCTGCTTTTGAATTCCCCCCCCCTCACCCCCAACCCTCCCCGATCGTCTCTCTTTTGCCCGAGCTTTTACCATAACCTTGCTCAATTCAAGACACTGTGTTACGCACTCTTGCCCATCACATTGACAGTTGTTGCTGTTTGTTGCTGACCGCTTGACGTTTCGGGCCTTTCGAGGCCTCCTGCTGCTCAGCAAACTGTGTCAACCACTAGCCCCGTGGCTTGTCCAATGGGTTTCTGCGCGCGTGGCCGAATTCCTATAAACGCGGACCCGGTTTCCATGTAACGCGTGGGGGTATTTCTTTAAAAAAAACCGGGATATCTTCCCCTTGACAACAAGCATCTGGAATCTGTTTACACGAATGAACGAAAAAAACCCCACAAGGGAGATGTTGCAAAAATGGAACTAATTTCCCTGTGTACATAATCCTATTCCTGGCACCATAGTCCTAATCATAGCCCAAATCATGTGCCTAGCGGCCCTAGCCCCACACGGTATGCCCAGCTGTATCACTAAGCCCAGTATTAACCCCTAACCCTTGCCTTAATGTTACCCATGCCCTTAACCCTGACCATAACCTTAGTCCTATATAGCCTTAGTCTTAATTATAGCTCAAGTCTTAACCAGAACCCAAGCCTCAGTCCTAGTCCTAGCCCAAACCCTGGCTCTAGCTCGAGATGATATATCCGAGCCCTTGGCTGAATCCAAGCCCTATAGCCTCGCTATTATAGCCTCATAACCATAGCCGTGCCCAAACTCTAGACCAGGGGGTGTGCACCCTGTAATTATAATAACAATTACATTTATATCGCGCTTTTCATCAAGGATCTCGAAGCACTGTACAGGACAACGAGCAGCAGACACGTAGCATTAAAATAAATATATATATATTTTTATACATTTTAAAAAGCCATTTACTAAATGAACTAGAAGTTTAATAAGCGGAGGCGTAACAGACCAAGAGCCGAAATGTACCCACCCATGAGTTACGTAAAGCGCCAAGTGTATATATGTGTGTATACATATTAACAGTTTTTGGCACAGCACGGGATACATTATTCTTTGCGATGACTGTGATAGTCTGTTATACGTTACGCCCCTTCTATAGAGCCGCGTGTGGTTGACTAAAAAGCCGCATGCATCTCGGGGAGATGCCAGTTGGCCACCGCTGCTCTGGAACTAACTCTAGCCCTGGGCCAAACTCTATCCCTAACTTCATTCCTAACCCCAACACGAGTTCCAACCCAAGAAAGAATTCTATACTTATCCCCCAACACGATACCTCGAGCATTTATGGCCCTAACACTAGCCCGGGTCGGCAATCAACTTAACAAGATAGAGCGAATGTTCTCGAATTCGGTTAGTCAACTAAAAACCTCAATATCTCAAGATGCCGCCAATCCACGTGGTGAATCCGAGACGGCGGTCTTTAAATGGCCGTGTGCGGCTCCGGAGCCGCTGGTTTTGCTGACCCCTGACCCTAGCCTCAGCCCTCCCTCTCGCCACGACTGTGAGAGCGGTTGCGAGTTAAGGGCCTTGGGGGGGGGGGTCTCTGGTGGGAATCCGGACTGAAAGTTAAGTGAGAGAGCGATACTTCCGAGACAACCACCAATTTTTATTGCGCTGTTTGTTTGCTGGTCATTAGACTTTAGTGGGGGCCTGTGCCCAGCAACTGATGACAGCTGTGGCTAATACTGATCACACTGCACACATCGCTAACAATGCTGTTTGCCTATGCAGATGCCGTTGCTGATAATATACTGCTGTTGTTGTTGAAGATTAAGATAATGATGTTGCTGCTGATGATACTGCTGATGACGCGCCTGATAATCATGAAGATCAGCGTCCGAGTGGGCCCCATTATTCCTCCTAGCTCATATGTGAGCCATCGAACCTTGATTGGTGCTCGCTAACAGCATGTCAAATGTGATAATATAATAACCTAATAATAATAAATATTATAAGTGCCTACTTTGTCCAGAAATACCCAAGGACTCCTTTTCGGGAGGTTCTGGCTACGTTTGGTTTTTATTTGAAAACGTTTTCCACCGATTTATGATTCACAATTGGCAGTTGAGTTAAGATCGCGTAAGTGAAATGTCAGAATCTAAATATTTATACTGGAGGAATCCGATGAGCTATGAAGCTCCTTTTCACAGATGTTGCGTCGTAAACCCTCCGCCACCCGACACGGCCAATTTATAAAGCTGTCACGTGATGAAGAAACGTGCCAGCTTATCACCGCTTCAGCAGGAGCAGCAGCAACAGCACCAGGCACGTGTTGTTGTTCACCGACTGCGTGCGGACGTTCCGCCGGTAGTTACAGCCGGCTTCAACGAGCAGCCGCCATCAATATTAAAACGTCAGCCACGTTTCATTGTTGCGAAAGCCAGCGTCGTTCAAGGCAACCAGATAAAACCCACACATGCGGGCACGTGTGCGTGGGAGCGTGATCGTTAACAGCACTTGCCCCTACAGTCTGTTCAGGCTATACGGGGGATCTCTGTGCGTGGGCGTGTGCGTGCGTAGGAGTGGAGTGGTTAGCATGTTGAGCTATGAATCCTGCAGAGACACAACTTCGATTCCCGCCCACAGCCAACACTGACAATTATCCGAGCCGGTCCTGCGCCTCCCCTAGGTCAACTGAGCCTCAAATGAGTACCTGGTGCGATGTGTAAAAAAAAAAATCGCCACTCAGGAGACAAAGGCGGCCGGGGCGTGGTGTTGGCCACCCACCCCCTCGTGTGCCACAGTGCCGGCCTTCATGAGGCGCTCGCTAACAGCACTTGCCCCTACAGTCTGTTACGGGCTACACGGGGGGGATCTTTGTCTTGGGGGTTTACTTTGGGAGATGCATATGTGTGGGGAGACATTAACAGAGGACGCCTCTGTTCCGAGTCGTAACTTGCATTATTCGCGGAGACAGCGTCGCCTTGTTTAGTGTGGCATCCTCACGATTCGGACACCCGAGCGAGCGAGAGTAAAAACAAAACCGACTTGAGCCTTCACGAGCGGCGACCTTGGCAGCAGGCTGCGGCGGCGAGCGAGGGTTGGTAAGATTGCGCAAGTGTTTTGCGAAACTCCCTTCCCGTGGGCGTCGGGGAGGTGCGCCGGGTACCCTGGCCTCTCCAGAGGATAGCGTGGCAAAGCGTGGGCTGATGTCATGTCATTCATCCCTTCTAAATGCTTGTTGCCCCCCCCCCCCTTCTCCCCGCGATGTGTGGGTTTTCTCCACGTGCCCCCGGCTTCCACCCCACGTGTACACAAACGCTCGTGAAAGTGGATTCTGCTTCATCCGTACGGCCGATCTCGGTGGACAGCAGCGTCTCCGAATGATTTACGCTGAAGCGGTCGAGTCGGGTATCTGGTTTGAAAACGTCTCAATCTATGCACCGTGTTTCCTCTCCCTACCCCCCTTCTCTCACCCCCTCCCCCCCCCCCGCTCCTACCCCCAGCCGCGTACCCCCCTCAGTATGGCCCCCAGTATCCCCCCCAGTATCCCCCCCAGTATCCCCCCGCCTGCGCGCAGCCCCTCCATTACCCGAGTCATGCGGGCCCTGCGTACGCCCCGGGCCAGCGGCCCGCCCCGGGCCAGCAGCCCGCACCGGCCGTGGTGATCATGGCCGGAGGCTGCCCTTCCTGCAGGTGAGACCCCCTCCCCCCCTCCCCCCGCCTCCCGCCATGGTAAGGTGGAATTGCCAACACTGGTTGCGATGGAGCAGGGGCGCCGCCACCAGTCCCGACGAGCCGCGTGCAAATTGAGCCGTCGATTGAAATCGATGCTTGTGCTCGCAGCGCGCGAATCGACGCGTGCGTTCAGTTCGTCGGCCTATGGCCTTTCCGGGGCTCAGATTTTAACCGAGAAGCATTGGTTTACGAAGTTAAACTCTGGTGCGCCAGGTCTATCAAGCCTGTGCGGTGTCCTCCGATTAGCGCGCTCGGCCACGTACGGTGCGAAACAAGTGGCATACATCCTGTAGGAAAATGCAACGCAATACAGGTACCAGAATTCGGTACTACCTGAACACAGGTGCCAATGCCTGGACAGGTGGAAACTCTACCCAGAGATGGGGCATATTATAAGCAGACCGTACTCCTCCTTCACACATCTATCCCTGTACTCAACACATCCCCCCCTCCCACATCCCATCAACCACACGGCCGTCTGGAAGTGCACCATAGCATTGGTTTAGCGCAAGTTAATTGTGCAGACCGGTTTCGACATTCAGTGTCTCATCAGCAGAGTCGGGCTCGCTTGAACTTTGTTTATTTGTGATGATGATGATGATGAAAAAAAAAGAATAGGCTTTACCCTTTATGGCAAGAATACAGAAGGCGTTAAGATGTTCAAACACCATATTGCCCATTATCACAAGGCATCAAGTCTGCATTGACCATATACGCTTGTGGTAAAACATGCAAATGGCACATGCTTTGATAATATATGCATCGTCCTTGAAACTGATTGGCCTCTGATGGCCTTGTGACACCAGATAACACTTCAGAGGTAGGAGCCAACGTTTCCGTAGCCACGGTTGTGTTTTTTTTTTACTTGGGCCGCGCGGTGCTTGTTTCACGCAAAACAATCTTGTCAACAACCCTCCACCACCAAGCAAAATAGTCACTTTTGCAAAGCTGTTATCATTATCATCATAAACACGTGCCAACGTACTGATCGAATCCTGACTACTTGGAGCTCGGAGGCGGCGGCGGCGGCTTGAGAAATCCACGACCGTACGTTCATCTGTTTTTGCCCAAGACTCTTCTGTGCTTCGCTGAGGGAGGTTCGCCCGAGGAGGCCTTGAATGTTCAACCCGGAACACGCGGGGAGCCCTTTGCTTCACGCACAGCGTTCCGACTCGCCGTCGTCGCGCTCGCGATGTGAATGCCCCGATGACGACTGTCTAGCCCACGTCCCCCATATAGCCCCAGGTGCCTCTGCACCCCCCCCCCCCCCACCCCCCGCAGAGACACCTTGCCATGAATCAATACACGCAAGCCAATTTCCAGCCTTATGTTGCGTTGAGGCGGGCGTCGTCGCGCTAACGATGTGAATGCCCTGATGACGACGATGTCGATGATGATGATGCCGTGCCTTGCTGCAGGATGGGCGTGATGCAAAATGACTTCACGTGCTGCGGGATCTTCCTCGCCATCTGCTGCTTCCCCCTGGGCATCCTGTGCTGCTACGCTCTGCGCCAGAAGCGTTGCGCCAGCTGTGGCCACACCGTGGGCTAGCGGACCAGCCCGGCTGCCCACCCTCCCTCCCTGCCTAGCCCAGGTCACCCTCCCTGTCTAGCCCAGCCCAGGTCGCCATCCCTGTCTAGCCCAGGTTGCCCTCCCTGCCTAGCCCAGGTCACCCTCCCTGCCTAGCCCAGGTCGCCCTCCCTGCCTAGCCCAGGTCGCCCTCCCTGCCTAGCCCAGGTCACCCTCCCTGCCTAGCCCAGGTCGCCCTCCCTGCCTAGCCCAGGTCACCCTCCCTGCCTAGCCCAGGTCACCCTCCCTGCCTAGCCCAGGTCACCCTCCCTGCCTAGCCCAGGTCACCCTCCCTGTCTAGCCCAGGTCACCCTCCCTGCCTAGCCCAGGTCACCCTCCCTGTTTAGCCCAGGTCACCCTCCCTGTCTAGCCCAGGTCACCATCCCTGTCTAGCCCAGGTCACCCTCCCTGCCTAGCCCAGGTCACCCTCCCTGGCTAGCCCAGGTCACCCTCCCTGCCTATCCCAGGTCACCCTCCCTGTCTAGCCCAGGTCACCCTCCCTGCCTAGCCCAGGTCACCCTCCCTGTCTAGCCCAGGTCACCCTCCCTGTCTAGCCCAGGTCACCCTCCCTGCCTAGCCCAGGTTACCCTCCCTGCCTAGCCCAGGTCGCCCTCCCCCAACCCCTCACAGAGCCACCTTACCCTGAATCAATACACATTGAAGCCACCATTGTTTGTTGTTGTTGTTGCTGCTGCCCAGTGTTAAGTCATAGCCAATTTCAGCCTAGTGTAGCCCAGTGTCTAGTCCGGCATATAGCCCTAGTCGGTTTGACATAACACTTCCTAGCCTGGGTCGAACAAGTTCAACCGAGTCACTCGCCTAAGCCTAGCCCTGCCTAGCTGAGGTTAAAAAAGAAATGTTGTTTAATGCAGCCGTGAGCCTTACGCCTATAGCACTTTCTAGCTTGGTTCAAATTAGTTTCATCTAGTATCTAGCCTAGGCCGAGCCCTGCCTATCCTAGATAAAACTACTGTTTAAGCAAGCATCTAGCCGAGGCTTAGCCCTGCCACGACGAGGTAAACTAATTTTTAGGATGTGTGTGAGCAGGCGTTCGACACTTCACGTGGCCTCAAGGTGCACATCGCCTGGCACAAGCGTCGTGGTGACGTCACCGCCACTTAGTGGCGAATGGCGGTTGTTGATGTTGTTGTGGGAGAAACACTCCGCTAGGCAGGGGGTACAGCTGGTTTAATCTACCGGTCATCTCAATCGGCCAACCCACGGCACCAGCTGGGTCTGTCCTGAGACTTCCTGCCAGCAGCGAGCCGTCAAAACTTTTGCGTGGCTTCAAGGTGCACCTAGCCTGGCACAGGCGCTGTCGTCACATCACCGTCACTTAACACGGTGGCGTAGCGGTTAGCGCGCCGCGCTACGAGCCCGGCGACCCGAGCTCGATTCCCGCTCGCGGCCAACACCCAGTGACGATTATCTGTACCGGTCTCGGGCCTCCCCTAGGTCGACTCAGCCTCAAATGAGTACCCGGTGCGGTGTGTAGTAAACATCGCCGCTGATGAGTCAAAGGCGGCCAGGCGTGGTGCTGGCCACCCACCCCATCGTGTGCCGTTCTTGCCTTAGGTGCTCGCTAACAGCACTTGCCTCAACAGTCTGTTCAGGCTACACAGGGGATCTGTGTCTGTGTGCGCGTGAGAAACACATGGACACACATGCATGCACACACTTGCACACACGAATACACAACGCGAAACGAATGCCGTGCTAACACCGCGTTGACCAGAGGCGACGAGGTTGTGATCCCTCTTTGTTGTGGCCCTCGTAACCTGTGGAGGGGCTTGGGGGTGGGGGTGACAGTGGTGTCGATTAGAGGGGCCACCGTACCCAAAAAAACACAATACACTGCTTTTTAAGTATTTTATCTCAGTAACGAAGCTTCACACCCACGTTGGATAGCCTGGGTGTGTCGAGAACGATTGAGTGAGTGCCCCTGCACGGGGGACAGTGAACAGTGGTTGTCCTGTGGTAGAGACCGGCCCTCGTCATGGGAATGTGGATTTTCCTCCCACTGGCTCAGGGCAATAAACGGAAGCTGAGCGCCAGTATAGCTGCCAACCAAAGCTGTCTCGGACACCATCTGCGCGTGTATTCATTCCGGAAGATTTGCTGAATATCTACTCGAAGTGCTTTTTATTGTCATAAATAAAGTTTTACGTTAATTGTTTTTTTTTATTTACGCTTTTATGTTTTTAATGTCACGCAAGTGACAATGCCGATGTGCCCGGAGTTAGGAGAGTTTCTTAAGTCGGCGCGCGCACACCACACCCTGGAAGCCTTGCGAAGTTCAGCCCAACGCTGGGCCACGTGCTTTTGAAACGTTTGGTGCAAACTTTGGAGAGGCGACGGCGCAGAGGTTGGTAACCGAGGAGAACGCCTGAAGCCACATAGGGTGGGGCAGTGCCGGATCATCGTAGCACAACTAGCTGCACATGTAGTAGCTACTACATATGTAGTAGTTATGCATATGTAGTAGTATATGTAGTAGCTACTACGTATGCAGTAGCTACTACATATGCAGTAGCTACGGGCCACCCGCACTTTCAAGGGAACCGCGCTAAATGCTTTCAAGCTCTCAATTCCGGTTCAGTGATTCTGCACTTGCTCTGTTACTATAGTACTATACCGCCTTCAACTTTTATGAACGACCGGGTGTTTAAGGTTAGCGATTTGTCATATTATCTGGCTGTATAGCAAATGAAAAAATACAATTACGTAGGTAAAAAATAAAACAACAAAAATCACGACGTTTTGGCCACAACACAAGCGGCCTTCATCAGGTGAAGGGACCAGACTGTCTCGAGGACAGCGCTGGAGTGAAACACAGCCAAGCTCAGACCGCGACCTTTAAGCTGTGTGAGAGTAATAAAGGTGCCTTGACAAAGGAATTCGCATAAAAATTTGCATTTTAATAGGCGAACTTAGCATGATGAAAGGTAGGGAGGGGGTCGACCTGTGCAGGCTGGCGAGGGGGCAAGGTGGCGTCCACATGCTGGTGGTGTGAAAAGGGGATTTTAAGCTGAGAAAGTTTGGGGTACCACTACTTGAAAAATATACTGTACCATTGAAAAATTAGTTTAATGTTTGGTTCGATTTAGAACATCTTTCCAATGGTTGCTTAATTTGAAACCATCTTCTCGGTTGAAATTGTGTCTGTGTTTGTAGATCTGAATTGCCTCGTGAACAAATCTCTGATAAAAACCCGTGGGTTTGCAAAGAACCTTGGTATCGGAGAAAATTATATCGTGATCACCCACAGCGTTGTAACAGTGATCAGCTACGGCAGAAGAATTCGTTCTGCCGTGTTTAAAATCTGATTAGTGCTCGCGAATTCGGTCAGAGACATCGTTTCGTCTCCCCGATATAGCAATCACCGCAGGTACAACTCAATTTGTAAACCCCGGGGTACTGTAAGTCAGGAATGACATCCTTCACGGATGGGATCAGATCACGAATTTTGTGTACTGTATTGAACCGGACCTGGATCTTGTGTTTGTTTAGAATTTTGGAAATATTTTTAGTAACGCCTGCTATATATGGTAGTGTGATGGTTTTGACCAGAGTATCAAGTGGGTGTTTCTGTATGGAGGGAGAAACAGCTTGGCAGATGGTACGGTCAGAGTATCCATTCCTTTTGAGGGCCAGGTGTACATGTTTTAATTCACTGGTCAGGTGGTGTTGGTCCGAAATGCAATGAGCCCTATGGTATAAAGTTTTGATGAGAGAATTCTTCTGAGCTGGGTGGTGGTGGGAATCAGGCTTCAAATAGGAATCCGTGTGGGTGGGTTTCCTGTAGACAGAATGCCCCAATGAGCCATCAGGTCTCCTCTCAAACAGAACATCTAAGAATGGTAGCCTGCCATCCTTCTCCACGTTCATGGTGAATTTGATGGCGGGATGTCTGGAATTGATGTGGTGAGGAAAAGGTTCAGAGCTGGGAGGCCATGTGGCCAAATGACGAAAGTGTCATCCACATATCTCTTCCACAGAGAAGGTCTGAGGGTGGAAGTCTGGATGGCGTCCGATTCAAATTTCTCCATGAAAACATTGGCTATCACTGGTGACAAGGGGGAACCCATGGGAGTACCCTCATTTTGCTTGTAGAAGGAACCATTCCAAGTAAAGTAGGTGTTGGTGAGGCAGTGCCTGACCAGAGTAGGTACCTCGGGGTTTAGTCCATGTTGTACCAAATTTTCAATTATATCAATGGTATCAGGACCGGGACCTTGGTGAACAAGGAGACCACATCGAAGCTGACAAGGATATCGTCGGGGGACAGTACAACGTCTTTGACCATGGAGACCAATTGGGCTGAGTTAAGTACTGCTGAGGAGGTCTTACCAGTGAAAGGTAGCAAGGTATCTGACAGAAAACGTGCTAGCTTATAGGTAGGGGAGTTGATCGTGGATACGATGGGTCGTGGTGGGGTGCCTTCTTTATGAATCTTGGGGAGACCATAGAATCTAGGGGGTCTTGCAGCAGAAGGTTTTAGGGAGGGACGTTTAGTTGGTTCGATTAGGGAGGTCGAACTTGTGATGATCTTGTTGGTTTTTATAGTTAGGCTATTAGTAGGGTCATTTTTAATTTTGAGTAACTTCCATCGTTGAGTAGGTTCTGGATTTTGTTGTTCTACGAATCTTTATACATAATTACAGTGGCGTTGCCTTTGTCGGCTGAGAGGATGACTATATCATTTCTATTTTTTTTAATTCGCGAGTTCAGAGCGTTCATTTTTGCTGATGTTGCTAATGGGTTTCTTAGCATTCTTGAGAATAGTGGCTATTTCAGCTCTCGCAACGTCTGCTTGGATGTGCCCTATGCCTTTGAGGGCTACATCGACCTGAAAGATGATATCATCTACAGGGATATGTTTTGGGGTGACAGCGAAATTTAGTCCTTTAGCCAATACTGTTTTCAGATTGTCCGAAATTGGGGTGCTACTCTGATTGATAACAATTTTGTTAACATCTAGTTTTGTGATCTGTGGAACCGGGTTTTTCTTTGATAGGTGGTTGAATTTAGCAATTAGGTTAGCTTTGCATTTGATTGAAAGTGAATCGGCAGAAGAAGCAGTCATGTTGTCTACGTGGTTCCAATCAGAAGGCGACGTTTTTTGTGTTAACGTTAAATGATCTTGGAGGAGATTCCTGTGATAGCCAATGTTTTCATGGAGAAATTTGAATTGGATGCCATCCAGACTTCCACCCTCAGACCTTCCCTGTGGAAGAGATTTGTGGATGACACTTTCGTCATTTGGCCACATGGCCTCCCAGCTCTGACTTACAGTACCCCGGGGTTTACAAATTGAGTTGTACCTGCGGTGACTGCTATATCGGGGAGACGAAACGATTTGTCTCTGACCGAATTCGCGAGCACAAATCAGATTTGAAATATGGCAAAACGAATTCTTCTGCCGTGGCTGATCACTGTTACAACGCTGTGGGTGATCACGATATAATTTTCTCTGATACCAAGGTTCTTTGCAAACCCACGGATTTTTATCAGAGATTTGTTCACGAGCAATTCAGATCTACAAACACAGACACAATTTCAACCGAGAAGATGGTTTCAAATTAAGCAACCATTGGAAAGATGTTCTAAATGGAACCAAACATTAAACACATTTTTCAATGGTACAGTATATTTTTCAAGTAGTGGTACCCCAAACTTTCGCAGCTTAAAATCCCCTTTTCACACCACCAGCATGTGCACGCTGCCGTGCCCCCTCGCCAGCCTGCACAGGTTGACCCTCTCCCCACCTTTCATCATGCAAAGTCCGCCTATTAAAGTGCAAATTTTTATGCTAATTCCTTTGTCAAGGCACCTTGATTACTCTCACACAGCTTAAAGGTTGCGGTCTGAGCTTGGCTGTGTTTCACTCCAGCGCTGTCCTCGAGACAGTCTGGTCCCTTCACCTGATGAAGGCCGCTTGTGTTGTGGCCGAAACGTCGTGATTTTTGTTGTTTTAT